GATGAAGTCGGTGGGGGAATTTTTTTCGCCTGTGGGGGAAAAAGAGGGAAACGAATGTATGATATTTGAAGAAAGTGTTTATTGAGGGGATAGAAATATACTTTAGAGTTGGAAAAAATACCATGAACGACATAGGCAAATAAATCAACTGAAATATATATATATATATATATATATATATATATATATATATATATATATATATATATATATATATATGTGTGTGTGTGTGTGTGTGTGTGTGTGTGTGTGTGTGTGTGTGTGTGTGTGTGTGTGTGTGTGTGTGTGTGTGTGTGTGTAGTGTGTGTATCTATGTATGTCTGTAAACATACTGATGTTTTCCCTCTCTTCATGCTTTTAAGCGCTCTTTTTATTTCCTCTGCTGTAATGGCAGGTACGTCTCTAATTACCGTGTTCGCTTCATTTGAGTTGTATATATCCCGGTAAAAGTATTCCACTACTTTTATGATTTCATTCTTATTATATGTCGTTTCTCTGTCTGGTTTCTTTATTGCATACATTTGATTTCTCCCTATTCCTAGTCTCCTTTTAGCTGTTTTCACTGGTTCATTTATTATTTGAGTACTGAATTTCCGTACATCTTTTATCTCATTTTTATTTATAGTCTTGGTTAGTTCAGCTAAGTCTACTTTGTCCCTGTTTGACGATACTTTTATGACCCTACGTTTTTGCTGTTTAGTTTCTACCGAGAGCTTGCTTGACGTTCTTACCGCCTACTTCAAGTGCAGCTTCCCTTATTACGTGATTGAACGGTTTGTTGGTTTGGTCAGCGTTGAGATCTTCGTCGCTGAGAAGTGAATATATATGTTTTGGATGTTAAGGTAGAATTCTATCGCTCTGGTTTTCAAGTTAGCCAAATTTGGCTGCGGTTTTCGTATGAGTTTGTTCCTTTACTTTCTGAGGTGTAATTTAATTTGGCCTCTGACCATTCTATTTACGTTATCAATATTTTTTTTTAGTACATCGCGCTTATTTGAAATAATGAAGTCAATTTCGTTTTTTTAGTCAGATGACGACTCCCCTGTCCACTTCCGCTCGTCCTTTTTCGAAGACTGTATTCATGATATTAAGTGATCGAGCCTACGCCAAATCGATTAGCATTTGCCCCCTTTCCTTCCTAGTAGCTATTCCGTGATTCCCCACTACGGTTTCTCCTTCTAACTTTTTACTTATTTTGGCATTAAAAGCTCCCATAGTTATTGTGAAATGGGTTTTTACTCTCTCGCTGGCTAAATGAATATCTTTATAGAAGCTCTCTATATCTTCATCAAGGGCTGTAGGTTGGTCCATAAACTTGAACAATCTTTAAGTTGTACCTATTGTTTAGTTTTATTGTTACTGAAGCCACTCTTTCGCTTATACTATAGAATTCCACGATATTTATTTTCTAAACTAAGAAACCTACCCTTATTTCCTGCTACCCTGGAGTTTACCTTTCTAATTAGAACACGTGTCTATCATTTAGTATCTTCTGTTCTTCGCCTAGTCATCCATTTAATGAAAGAGAGTTCCTCAGTTAATGCTAGTAATTCGGATTCAGTTCTCATTGTTCTTATATCGAATGTGCAGAGGTTCATTAACGTGGGGCGGCCTGTTTTTAACCGGAGATTTTTAGCACCCTCTGCTCCGGAGCGATCCTTCGCCTCTGTGGAATGAGGGCCGTTGTTCTGTTTGTGCAGTCATATATATATATATATATATATATATATATATATATATATATATATATATATATATATATATATATATGTATGTATGTATATATACATACATATATATACATATTTATATGCATATATATACATATATATGTGTATGTATATGTGTGTATATATATATATATATATATATATATATATATATATATATATATATATATATATATATATATATATATATATATATATATATATATATATATATATATATATATATATATATATATATATATATATATATATACACACATGTATACATCGTGGCCAAGTGGGTTAGGGCGCCAGAGTCCAATCCGGGATCGCGGGTTCGATTCTTCAACAGGGAGTTAAAAATGACATGGAAAGCGCCCAGGCGGAAGCAAGCAAGGGACCCAGTTAAAAGAAAAGAAAAAATACCCGCCGCGGCAGTCGTAAAAATGCGTGTGCTCCGACTGCTGCCTCGAGCCCGATCTCACGGCGAGAAAACAACAGGGAGAAATCAAACGCAGGTGTCGCAGGGGAAGTCGCCTGCGGTTGATTAGGAAGGGCATCCAATCAGGCATTCAAATAGTCTTTCAGTACTGAATTGAAATGGGCCTGTGTCCTGCAGTGGAATGAATGGCTGTTCAAAGAAAAAAACATATATACAAAAATAAAAATAAAGAGAAACCAGCAATCGTGTCTATAAAGGCGTACCTGTGATGCTTTTAAAATGATTATTCCCTTTCCTCGGATCTTGGGATGAAGTACAGGCTATTGAACACTTAGTATATTAAACGTTA